CTGTGTATAAGGTCTGAAGTTGTTTAATCAGTCAGTCTGCCAAATCTCTTAACCTAGTCTCCACATCCTCTCCCCTTTTCGACCCCCATGACTCAGGGGTTGTATCCGTCATTTCCACATCCGGGGAGAGTGTCTGCAGGTCCCAATCCATAGGTTGGGGATCAAGTGCGTGATGGAAGGGGTCCAGTGCAGGGGGGGGAGGGTCTTCACACACTAGAGCCCCCTGAGGGGGGGTGTCCTCCCCTTAAGTCCGCTTCTCGACTGCCTGTTGGGTCTCCTCTTCTCCCTGCCCCAATAATTCTCTCCTTCTTGATTCTATCCCTCTATCTCCCTCCTTCCTTTCTTCCTTTTTCCCTTTGCTCTCCCCTTCCTTCCTATTTTCTTGTTTTCCTTGTTCTTCCCCTGGGGAGGACCCTTTTTCCCCTCCTGCTGTCTGTGGCGATTATACTTGCTGCCTCATTGTTCCTTGCTGCTGGGCTGCTATTTGGTTACCCCCGGTCTCCCCTATCTCTTCTCCTGCCCCCCCAGTCCCCCCGGTCTCTGTTCCTAGTATCTTAAATCTGTTGTTTGTCTGTTGTTTGTTGTTTGATCCGGTCAGTTGGTTTGGTCCCTTGTTTTGTCTACCAGGGGGTGCCTTCTTCTTGGACGAAGGGGATTGTCACAGTTCTCCCAAGTCCGACTTGGTGATGAAGTCTTGGGGCCTCGGTCCTGTTTGGGCCCCTGTCTGTGAGTCGGGTGTGCTTGATGCGCTGTCACCTCCGGGGGGGTGGGAGTGTGAGGGGCGCAGGTGGTTGGTGGGCCTTTCCATTTGTGCCTCCAACGATTTGGGGCGGGTCCACTGATATGGGGACTTCGTATCCCAGTTTGCCTCGCCGCTTTTCTCCCACACCCACCCCTTTATCTATGCTCCTTCTCCCGATTCATCCACATAAACCCACCCTTCATGTCCTGCGTTCACTGTCCTTCACCTAGTATTCTTGAAGGGGTCGCGCAGCAAGCGCCCTGTTGCTTTGATTCTCTTTGCTGGATGGTGCGGACATTCTGGGTAAGGGGGGAGGTGTCCATATGCCTGGCATTTAAACCATCAGTACCTACCGGTTGTTAAGGCCCGTGGCTCAGGCTACCGGTAGCCCGGTCGTTCCCGAGCCTCGGACTTTATTGTCGAGCCTCGAACAACCGGTAGGACACAACGGAAAAAAA